AAAATGAGTTAATAGTAGTGTAAACAAACGGGGACTTTCAAACTCAACATACCATCAATAGTGTATACATTTAATTGCTCACAACAAGATTCATATATCARYATAAATCHAKNAAAYATTTMTTTAATTATGCTTTCCACCCCAAATACGCAAAAACGAAAAAAAGAGGGGTTGTGAATACTCACTTTTCGTAATGAAAATAGCTCATATAACACATTTAATCGTGCTTTTCACCCGAAAACGTAATAAATACTTTGAAAGAGGGGCTGTGAAAACTCACTCTTCGTAATGCTCTGCAAAAATAGAGATATGATCCGATCACCGCACTAGTTCAACGATTCCCTATCAATAGGAATATCCAAAACCATCACATATTGATTTAACACTACCTATGGGGTTTAATAAGTCCTAAGTCCATAATTATCTACTTATGTCCCATATGATTATCCATAGTCCAAAATGTCCATATGCTCGTTAATGTTTTAATTTATACCGAAAACAATGCTACAGTCCAATAAAAAGATCAAAATTTACAAAATCAACAAATCCCAAAATCTTGTTTTTGGGCAGAAACTAATGATACCTAAAAATGATCAAATTAAAGAGACTTCTAAAATGAGATAATTTCCTGTCTTTTTACATGGGCTATAGCACTGAGTAATAGTCATCATGACCAAATTTTTCATGTATTTTGGACAAGCAATAATGATTCAAATAATTTATGCAATACAACTTATCACAACTGATATGGCAGATTACACCATGTTAGTAAAACACTCATTAAAAGAGCTCTACTAAGTGTTTTGCAGAAATTCAAGTTGGATTATAAACTTAACACTTATATGAAACTTTCAAACTAAAAATCACTCATTTTGGATGAGTTAAGAGGAAGATATGGTACCATAAAATTACATGCACACATCTGTCATTAGTTGACAGATTGCGCACTTAACTTTAATAAATTGGTTAATGCCTCAAAACTTCATATTTTTGAGTGAAACTGGATTCATATGAACCCTAACTCATAAAAGAACATTTTAGAAGAAGAATCATACACTAAGAACAAATAAGTAGAGAGATAATAGCATACAAAGTAGGAGTTACCTACTGGTGGTTTTACAGTTTGCACACCTATAGTGTTTTAGGTGTTTGGAGATCAAAACTCCATAATTTCATGTGATTCCACTTGCATGAAAGAGATAACCCATATAGTTAACTCTCAAAAGAAGAATAATCCTTTTTCATCGAGTTTTGAAAGAGATATGGTCATTGGAACATACATAAACAAATCTATCAGATTCGGACAGATTGCATGTTCACTTTATTTTGAGTAGTTAAAACCTCAAATCACCACAATATTGAATGAAATAGGTGGAATTTGAAAGGTAACTCATTAAACTAACATCCAGAAGAAAAAT